TCACTGATAAAGGGAGCCAGCGAATTCTTGAGGTCAAACACATGCATACAAAAGCACTCCAAAACTGCCTTTAAGATATCATGAAGCTTCATACAGCTTCTGCCCGTCCCACTGACAAGGCGTCATAGCCGGGTACGACGACAACTGGGCCTGCTTAAATCCCCTGTCAATACCGAAAAAAACATCGATTAGCAGTTGCCTTCATCCCTATGGCTCAAGAATAGGGCACCATCAGCATCATCCACACCCACCTTTTCATTGAAACTAAATCGTACTTGCTCCTGTGGATCAAGGTGTTTGGCATGCGCCTTTCCATCTGCTGCGTCATAGACTCAGCCAGGCGTCATACACCCAATCAGGATCCATCTGTTCGAAGGTCCCATTCGCCTGAAGAATTCCGCGAGACCAGGCTCCCGCGGCCCAGTAGACGCCACCCATCACTCCGGCCAAATAGAGCAATGCCTGGTCGGATGAAGCTGGTTTTTAGGGCAACAAGGTTGGCACCAGGAAATTCGGAAAACTGCAACCTCCCTGTTACACCTCTTGCCCGATAGAGCAATCCGTTGCAGCTCTCCAAACAAATTGTGTCTTCAAGAACTCATTCACCTAAGGAAGGCCGTCTATGGAACAAACACATGCCCCTTCTTTTTTGTTGACACACCACAATCAAAAAACAAAGGAAACGTTAACAGCGGACAATTCTGTGGTCAGTCACCTGAACAAACAGTCCCAGTGGAGAACTTGACGTGATCATACAAATCTACCGATTTCAAGATTAATCTTCCCACCTGCCCACAGTGTCTTAGCACTGCACCTTCTCCTGACTTACCCTTCAAAACAAAGGTGTGAAAGGATCAGGTGCGGCGCTCCCTCAGGGCAGGACGCCTTCGCAGGAGATCATTGGACGTGGCCAGGCGTTTTTGCTTCGCGCGCGTGAATTGTAATCGCAGCCCGCATGGGTTTGGGACACCAAGCACCACCTAATATAATTCGGTATTTTGTGTATACACAGTATACATCTGTTTTACTTCATTTGTGGTTATCCAGCTCCCTACAGACAGACACTACTAGTACCATAACCGCCCTGCACAGGGAAGGGTTGCATAGCGAGCAGATTCGGGTGCAAAATCGAGTACTCGAAAAACCTGGTTGGCCGACCTCCCTGGTACCACTAGTCTAGTCTGTTGTTTATCGCCATATTTCGATGATTCAGACTCCATCTTCTCCAGGATGTACAAAACAAATCGGGGCAACCCTTCAGACTTCGCATCATCTGTCCGATCTGAACTTAATGGACTCTGTTTGCGACGTAATTCTGCAGGATACAGAACGAAATGCCAAAATGGTCAACATCTACAGCGATAGATACACGATGAACCCAACATCAGCTCAGCTGCTGTCGATGACCGGATCATGCTATCCAGCACAAGGGAAAGCTCCTGTCGCACAAGATGTTGCAGGGTCTTTAGCATGGAGCAATTGAGCTTGGCAAACAGACCCCTCGACCATCAACGTGCTCCAATTGATTAGCAGCAGAATTCAAGTGGAAGACCGCAGGAACTGATACCAACAAGGTGAGAAAGTGGCAAACCAGTGAGACACACCTTGCGTCTCCTTGTTAGGGAAAAGTCAGCCCTAGGCCATGCCACTTAAAGTTTGATCACCCGACTATAGAATCAGTACAGTACCTGCCTGTTTGAAGAAACCTGCTCAAAGACCTGGTCACATTCCAATCTTGACCAGTCTTCTGCCATCAAAACACATCCTAACAACAACAAAACACCTGCCCTCACGGCCAAGAAGGACTTGAGAGAGGAGGGGGTGAACGAAAGGTAGCAGGCAATCACAAGCAACCCTGGTAAAAGTCCATGACGGCGTGAACCGGCGCAGGGGGGATTTGATTCAGGGGGGGGCCCCCCCCCGACGAACAGAATCAACTCTTACAGGACCAAATTCAATGCACAATCCCAACTCCTGATTGTAATACATTTTTGCTAAAGCAAGGAGAACTCAGGTAGCTCAATCTACCTTTCGTGAAAAAAACAACACGACGGCCTTCAACTTCGAGGAGGTCCGCGCAAACTGGTAGACGCGCAGCATCCGCCAACTGCGGAGCCCGCTGAAGCGCCAAAGCCAGCCAGGTTTCTCGAAAAGGATCACGTCCATGGCAGCACAGGAGACCTCATCCGCACCCGTTGGTCGATCTGCAACCGTGGATGTGCGTTCCCTTCTCCCTTTCAAGGGGAACATATTAGTTGCGTCGCTCCTAGTAGCGATGCCCTTTGCTCTTAGTAGCGTCCTTGCTCCTATTAGTAGCAATGCCAGGAGCCCCTAATAGCTTCTTATGAATCGGAGTGTTGGGGGATGTGTAATCCAAGAAGTCCATTTGACCACCCTGGAGGTTGCTGGTCTCCTCCATGTCAGTGTGTTTCGATTGTGTCATGACCCGTCCATTCGACTCCGCAAGCCGGAACGGAGCCACCAACCATTTGGGAGGTCAAGAAACTGGTCCAACCGAGCCACTCACGTGCTGTCAGTGGCCGGTGGGCCTTTGCGAAGTGTCCAATGCTCCAAGATTTGGAAAAAGGAGCCTCTGTCTGCTATACGGCTGGCCTAAATAACCGTTACTGTATATAAATAAAGGAGCAAGGGCATAATTTATAAATAAAGGAGCAAGGGCATAATCAGCTTTGCCCTTGTTTTGGGTGTTGTAGTTACTGTTAGGATTACTACGCCCCAGAACACCCAAAACAGCCCCTCTCTCACATGTTCCGAGATGCAAAGATCATTTCACACAAGTTCCGACGGTTGAAGAAATCTGTGCCGGCGCCCAGCACGCGGATCGTGAATTCGATGCCGCACCAAATCCTCGATGCCGCACCATGCACAGACGCACAGCGACACGGACCGTGCCCGGAGTCACACTGAAGTGGTTCAAAAGGAGAATCACATGGCAGGGGGTGAAAGAAAAACGAGTAGAAACCAAGGAGAAGCCGCCCAGCAGCTTTACCTTGCTTGAACATGTGGAAAAACCTTCAACCCACTTGTTCTCTTTCGCCGCTCACTTGTGAACCTTGAGTTCATCCGTCGAAGTCCCGAATCCTCCAGATCCGAGGCTCAGAAAACCGACGCGGCACCAGAAGAAGGGCTCGGCCAGAAACTCATCGTCGCCAAAGTCCACCTCAACACCAATATACCTCAGTGGAGCGGCGAATAGGCTCGGCGATGGGACCAAGTCGTTTTTGTGATTTCCAGGGCCGTTGAACAAAGAAAGTTGAAATGCCAAATGCCAAAATAGCAGCACATTGTAAGGTGAAACCCAGAATTGGGGATGTGTCCTCCACCAACTGAATCCAACTTGCTTGCATTCCTGAAGCATTCCTACTGAATGTCAGGGAATAGCATGGAAGCTAGAAACTAATACAACAGCTTCCAGTAGAATCGCTTGTACTTATATCACTTAGTCCGTTGCTTACTTTGAATCTATTGATTTGATTGCCTACTTCTTGTTGCCTGAGGCTAATTTCACCTGGTCCTGGTTCATCCTAGCTGTGCAGCTGTGCCTGAAGTACGTTGCATCTGTCTTTGGCTGCTGGTAGGATTGCTGCTGCATTTGTCCATTGCTCGTCTGTTCTCTCAAGAACATGCTCTGAATCTTGCCAACAAAATCAACACTCCCATGGATTCATACTGCCTAGGGTCAAACATCTGTAGGCCCAAATTGCAATAGTAAAAGCGCTACAACCTCTGGCACCCTGGGGCCTTGTATATGTTTTTTTACCGGCCCATGCCCATATTTGAACCAGCCACTGAACGTATTCAACCAGCCGGAATTCAATGCAATTCACAAATCACCAAGCAAACACTTTTGGGTTCACCTTGGAACACAATGTGCGGGACATGTATAGATTCTTGGTTCCCCCATTCTCTGTCTAATCCCGGCCCAGATCGCCGGGCATCCTTCTGGCCGCGTGCCGCAGACCGACCGCGTCCGCTCGCCGGGGTGCACGAGATTGCAAAAGACCACCAGGTCGCAGGTCAGCGCAAAGAGCGTGTCGCTCTCAATGCGGTGAAACAATGGAATCCCAGGCATCGCTCGCGATGCTCAGGATCGTGTGGCCACAGTCAAGTTTGGTCTAGGGTTTCGGTGCAGGTCGAACCCACCAAGAGGGGGAGTCTGTGAATTGCTTCTTCTGGATGCTGGGCTGTTATTTAAACGTCGAGCAAAAAGAAGGACGCTTAAAACTTAGTGATGTTGCACTCGGGGCGTTAGTATCGTCAGTTGAAGTGCAGGTCATGTAGGAGTTTGATGCATGCTGCATGTTTATGTTCTGAGCACCCAAACTCATGTCCAAGAAAAGCAGCCTATGTCTCTATGTCAAGGAGCTTTGGAGGGATGTGGAGGGATGCTCGTGGCATCTTCCTGCGCCAAGGGTTCTGGTCTCTTACGACCCATAATACTCATTGGCTCATCCGAGCTTCGAGCCAGTAACAATGCGCGGATATATCTGAGAGTTTCAACTCGAATCATCAATTGTCAGGCAACTGATACTTTGTGATACGACCGGGATTGTCGTTGATGAAATGTTCCTTCCATTTGATAGTTTCGATGAGTCTTTCCACTCCCATCCTATTCTTCATCGTCAATGTTTTCAACATACAGGACAGTTGATTGGGAGCTACTGAAATAGCATGCCAGACACGACTGTAGCAACAAATAGAAAGGACATGAAAGGACCATAAACGAGGTATGTTATGTTCAAGTATACACTACACGATTTCATTGGGCCGTACACATTGGAAAACAAGCAAAGAACAAACAGGAGGACAGGCTGCGCGCAACGCTCTCTGCAAGTAACCATTGAGCACATAAGGCAATTTACATCAATTTACAAAGAAAAGAATGGCATCGGGCTGCACAGGTAGGCGACAAATAAAAACAAGACAGGTGACGGTGTCACCAAAGCATAACTCCGACTGTCATTACCAAGGCTCCGAACACCAATGCCAAGGTGTTCGCCTCAAGAGTAGAATGGCATGCTGCGTCCAGACTGCAGCCAGTCTGTGAAGCATTGGCAACCCCAATGTCCAGAGCCAAACAATTGCCGCATGCAGTTCTTGAAAGAGTTCAATGTCATGGCTGGCAATGCGACCAAAGACTGGGAAGTGAAGGGGCAGGAGTCCGACACGGGAGACACCTTCTCCATTGGTTAGGTCTAGCCAAACATGTTGTTGGTCAAGCCAGTTCCTACAAATGGTGATTACACAAACCCGCAGTATGCCTTTCGGTGGCTGTTCCTCATATGGCCTTTTCATTCGGGTCCTCCGGCCACTGCGATCTCGATCTCTTGCAGGAGGTGGTGGAGTGTGCTGCGCAAGTGGTACCTCGCTTCTCGTTCAGGTCCCAGTCCGAAGAGCAGACGGGTGAAGCATGAAGCAGACCGGTGACCCGTTCAGCCCTTGAGATACCTCAACGACGTGGGTGGTCTCGACAGTCACTCCTGGTAATGGAATTGGTTCGAAAGTCAAAAGACGAACCTAGAAACTCCATGAACTCCCAAATACTCAGAATATGTTCCAGGATAAGCTGCGACCTTGACCTTCAATCCTTTCTCCACTTTCTTTGGACACGAGACCCATCCTTGGTTATACTTAATTTGTTGGCCAAGACGACCCCAACAAATGCATCATCCCCATCGGCTTGTGTTCACAATGTCTACACATATAAAATGTCTCAGCACACTCGTCAAACTTGGCACATGGCAGCATCGCCGGCAATGTTTGCCAGCCTCCGATAGTGTGCCACCTGCAAGTCAACGGGCCACCGTTGCACCCCACTGCAACTCTAAGTCTCTAAGTGCTGGTTTTAGTGGCACCAGCACGGTTTCCCATAGCTGATGTCCTGCACAAGCAACCATCCGAAAACACTGTTGCCATCTGCCGCCTGAAAAGCTGATCCAGGGACTCAAAAGCTTTGGGTAACTCATCTCACCATACAAGCACAAAGGAAAGAAGCAACAGAACAATGACACCATCACCCAACGCATCCAAACCCACCACTACACAGTGGTCTTCAAAGCTTACAACGATTCCAGTCCTTGGTCCCTGATCGCAACCCCAAAAAGTGCTTGCCAGTCCATCGTGAGTGGCCATCAGAATCCATCAGAATCCATCTCCATCCCCGTCCGGGGCTGGCCATCGAAAGGAACTTGATCAAGTTGTCCAGCTGCCTGGGCTGAAAAGCGCCGGAACAGCACCGAGCGTGGCGCAGGCGACCGGTTGAGATGAGAAGGTGGCGACTCCTCTGACCTCTTCCAATTCCAAAGTTGCTGTGTTTTTTGGAGGGGGGTTCCATGATATTTTTCACCCCCATTGGTCCGTTTGCTAAGAATCCAGTGATGTTGTGTATCTTCCAAATGAATCTTAGCACCTAATGAGTCCATAGAGCTGCTACTATTCTGTCAGTGCTTGCTGTGGTACGGTTGGAGCTCTGTTGAAAAAAAGCATCTTCTCCAGTGGACTCTGCTCTCCGACGAAAGTGCTCACCCAACAGCGGAACCCAAGTGCTAAACGGCTTCGCTGGCAAGTGGCTTGTAGAGATCGAGGTATTGTTGTTGCACCTAGCAGTTTTGAGGGAGATGCCTTCATCTCACAACGGGGATTGGCCTTCCATCCTGAGGACAAGGGTGATCCTCCGGTGAAACATCCCACTGAACAACTTGGCATGTAGCGACCTGGGTATGCTGTGCGTTAAACGGATTCCCCTTTGAACGAAATGCGCTTCTGATGTACGGATCATTCATGCGATGAATGCCACTTGAAACACACATGGTACCCTTTTTTTCCGTCAACTTCGCTTTGGGTCATAGACCTGCCCTTCTACTGTCCATCGATGTGGCTTGTAATCCATGCTGCCATGCTCCTCACACATCCCAGGTGTCATCCTGCCTCCCTGGAGGACTTGGAGCGAAAGAGTTGGTGGATACCACTGCCCTGCACTGCGAAAGCATGGGAATTCGCCAAAGCCAGCAAGCTCCATCAAACATCGTCAAACCATATTAGCCGCATTAGCCTTTTTGTCCCAAGGGCTTGAACTAGCAGACGACAGGAGGTGATCCCCGCTCCAAACAGACCACACACACACCGGAAATAAGTACTCAACTTGGGATGAACCCAAGTGCCGCATGCTGAACCAGAAACGGCCAATAAATCTCTTTAGATCCTAGATGATCACAGGCTCACTGTAGACGCAAGAGGCCAAAGTCTTGAGTAACTCCGTGTACGTTGAGGCCTAAAAATGGCACACACCCGTGGGATCACGTGGGATGGGTTGGGAGGTCTCCGTACATCCATCTGCAATTGGGTCGATTTTTCTGGGCCCCCTTGGGTCCCACCAAAGTTGAGTCTGCCGCCCGGCCCAAACTGCCCTGGCCAGTGCCAAGTCTTCACCCTCATCCAGCGCGTCCACCCAGGAGTGCCGCAACCTGGGAGAACGTTCAGAACTGAACAAACATGGTGTGGACACACGTGGACACCAACTGTTGGAGAAAAAGCATTGGCACCACATGAAAGCTCGCAATACCCGTGAATGACCGTTGTGTTCATTCTCTCACCTCACGCAGGGTGTCTTCTCCAAACAGTAGTCTGCAAAGAAAACGGGGCAGTCCAATCCATGGTTGAAGGAGAAATAACATGTCATGCAATGTTCTATCCTTTTGGTAGTTGTAATAGTGGTGCCGGACCTATGTATATACACATATGCAAGTCCATGTCCGACAACCAATACCAAACAACTATATTTATATATGTCGCACTTTTTGATCTTTTTGTACGTGACATGTTGCTCATCTGTTTGACATCTCTGATGTTGCAAGTGGATGTGGCACAAATAGGGTACTTGTCTGTCTCCCGTTGTGGTGTCTTGTGGTCAATCATTGACACATAAAAAGACTTGCAAACATATACATACACATGTTATAGTTACTCGAGCTCGATCCATGATGATTGACAGAGTCCTGACTGGTGGAAGTCGCGCGAGGGGAGGGAATCGCGCGAGCCGATCAAGATGGCCTAGTGATTCACCAATTCCCTCATCCACTGAGAACGACTCAGTTATGGGAATCCAGAGTTACCATATATCCATGTCAGGGAGTTGCCGCTGTAAAGTATCAGGGTCCAATGTCACTTGAATGTGATCAGGTCAGCCATGTTCACTCAAATCACGCAAACACCTTGGTGAAACATCCACACAGGAGTTCCGAAACAATGGCTGAACCTTGGATCTGCAACCAGGCCGCGCCATTGCAACTGACAGACCTAGACCTGCCTTTCGCCTGATCTCCTCTCCTGGCCCTTTTCGGATCAAGGGAATTCAATGGGCTTTCCGATGGTCACGGATCACACAGCTGCCCGATGCTCCCAGAGTCAATGCACGGAAATGGCCACGGTTGGACACCATTCAGCACATACAAGTAGCCTTTTCTGTGGCTGCCCTCTGTGACAACTTGATGTCCCTTGTCAATAGGGAGTATATACACCTTCGTGCCATCATCTCCTCGTGCAGGACTCACTTATCACTCTGCGCAAACTGAAACAAGCCCTCACGCTCCAAGCAGAAGCACCGACGGGCTCCAAGATGCACAAAGCTGAGGCCCTAACTCCAGCCAAAGGTCCAGCAACTTTGTCTGGCCTGGCGGACGACTGAAGCCTCCCAATTCTGCTGGTGAGACCAGGTCTTGGGAGGCCGTGCAACAGCGGCTGGGTGTGGGTGTGAAAACCCTGCTGAGTCACTTCCTAAGCTTCGGCGGCCAAGTGCCGGACAAGTTATAGCCTAGCATGTTAGTGCCGCACCTCAAGGCACTCCTCAAGGCCTTCATGTGGGGCCGATGCCGGCCCGTCGCCTCGGTCGCCTCGGTCGCTTCGGAGCTCCCAGAAGTCCCGGAAGTGCTGGGACCGGAGCAGCCTGAAAGCGCCACGGGTGAGGACCCCAACACATGAGCGGCACGGACGGTCCACGTCGTGTTGAATCCAAAGAATGTGTTGACTCAACACATGTCAGTGATCTTCTCTTTCGACTGTTATAGACCTCCAGCCTCCAAATATAAACACTAATGTATAACACATATTTAAACCATAATGACTGTACTGGTCGATTCACAACCAAGCCAAAACACCGCTCATTGTTGCCTGACCTCATGTCATGTCCCACTGGTGGAATCTTGAGTCCCCTTGAGGCTAAAACCGCAAGTTACACCAACCTGGAGCAAGTGGATCCAGTGAACAGTGACGTTTATCGTCACAACTTCTTTGAGACCTCTAAGGACCCAACCCTCACATGTTTGGACCTGTTTAAGGGTCGAAACAAGGAACGCAACATGAGTTCAGTTTGCCCCTAAGTAACACCTCTGAATCGAATGCCTTCCAATCCAATCCGGAATGTTTCAATGCCTTGGAGCCGGGTACCGGGTCTGGGCGACCGGTATGGGATGGTTTCGGTTCTCCGATGTACTACGAGGAACTCGTAGAGGATTCGACCACAATCCAGGTCCCAAAGCCTGGGCTGTGAAGAGCAAAGGAGGGTGGAGATAAGCCCTGCATGGCAGGCAAATGTAGGCATCGTGGCATCGTTTGATCATGTTTTATCAAGTATATAAAAAGGATGATTTAAACCGTACTGTGCAAACAATCATTGCGTTGTCTGATACCGTTATAAGTTATAACGGTTATAATCTGCTATGGCTTTGTCTGATGCCACAAAAACAATCCATGACCCGAGTATACTTGTTTTGCACCGCTCTGCTCTGCACGCCCCTTTGGCGCTCTTTGAGCCCTCACCGGGTCAACACGTCCGCGGCTGGACAAAGCTGTCCTGCCGTCGCTGTGAGCTGGTCGATCAAGCCATCGCGGCACGGAGAATAACTCTTCCAGAACTTCTGAATCCTCCTGGATGCTCAAACTGGCAGTCAGAGCTGCATCTTGGACTCCAAATCTCAGGTCGCCCGGGTGTGGCCACAGGTCGAAATCGCATCAAACCGTCAGCTTCTCGTTTCGCTCCAAACGAACCGCAAAGTGACCAGGAAACAGGTCGCGATGTGTTTTTCTTGTTGCGCATTGATCTTGTGAGGTGTGGAACGAATCAGCAAAAACTCCGCATCAGGATTCAGAATGATTCATATCATGATTCATATATCCTGGATGATTCTGGTCTCATCTCATTCTTGGCAGCTCAGCATCTGGTCTTCCTCATCCGTGTTTCGGCAGTAGCTGCTACTCAGGGCAGACGGTTCCTCGGCCCGCGAACTCGTCAGGGGTCACGACAGAGCAACGTGGCCATCGTCACGGTTCCTTTCAGCATGCCTCTGTGTGTGACATAGATCACACCACTTTCGGCCATCTTCATCAGCAAGTAAGCGTCCTTCACCTCGATTCAGAAATTCAAGTTCAAGTTCCCAGCATGATACCCCCATATATGATGGTAAATTCACAAACCCAAGGAAACGTGCCCCCCCCAAGACCGTGGTCCCTCAAAAGAAAAAGAAGCTTCTCTCCCTGGCCTCTCTCTTCGGCCTCTCATGGTCCAAGATACCGTGTTCTCTGGAGAGATCCGGAGTGGGCAGCCATCCACAAAGGGCTCGCTCCCATCGGAGGGCGCCAAGAACTGAGGATCCAAGAGGTCCACTTCGAGTTCAGCATGAACACCCTGTGGATCCACCCTTCGTAACAAGCGAAAGGCTTGTCCTGCCAAGACAAAACGGCCGAAGCCTGTAAATCGACGTTCGAAGTCGGCGGATGCCTCGTAGAACGAAGCCTCTGACATAAAGGGGGTAACGGGCAGGGACGGATCCATCATAGTGGAAGAAACACATGGCATGAACATGCTTGAAGATCCATGGCAAGCACATGTTGGCGATAAATTCACAGAATTGCCGCATGTGGAGCTGATTGGAGCTCCATCATGGATCTGAGTGGATATTTCCTCAACAAGTATGCGCAACAACAATGCCTGCCCCTCATGCTTCCTGACACCAGGAAAGCAGTGACAAGAAAGAATGGGACGCGCGGGCCCTAAGGGCTCCCAGCCACACTGTGTTGGATGTTGAGACGACAGCTTCTGCTGAATACAAATTGCTGTTGCACTCAAGACGTCTCGAGACCAAACAGGCTAAGAAATGCCTGAAAACATCTCAAATTTCAACACATCTTTAAAACAACAGTAACTATGTGTTCAACCCTCAAGCCACGTCGCCATCAAAATCAATCGAGATTTCGTCCATTCTCAAGCGAATGGACGAACTTCTCGAACACCGATCGGTCGACCGAACCGGGTCCCTCAGTGATGGTTCCCATCAGCAAGGCTTCGTGGCTCTTGGTCCAATCCAGTGGTCGAATGATGGGCACTAACGCTTCCGGCGCTCGCCGCACCTTGGACCCCCGAGACGAGAGTCGGGGTGCCACGCTCCGTGGCGCTGAGAAGACCGGCAAAAGATCGGATGTTGCATGTCGGTTGTTGGCCGACCTAAGTGACCCTATGGATGGGGAGTGGTTTGAGCCCAGAAAGTCCAAAAATACAACCCAAAACACTCATGGAAGTGGAAAACCACACTGTTTGTAGAGGAACATTGCGTACTCACAAGGCCCTATGTTTAACTATGTTTAACTTCCACGTCAGTGAGTCAGAGGATATCTTCATGTTGCCGCCAGCCCTTTGACAAACCAAAAAACATCAAACAAACAGATTGAACATACTGAACCGATCTGAACATCAAGGAACCTCTTTTAAGAGGTGCTGCAGGGTGAGGACTTGCGGCAAGCAGTGCTTGAGGTCAATCTCCTTCAGTGACATTGTCACCAACTCGCTTGCTCCAGGTTACACAAGACCCACATTAGACACATGAGCTGTCCCTGTGACTACAGTACATGTTTACACAAAAGACACAAAAGCCTCCAAACATTGCTACCACGTTTGGGGGAATACAAATTACACTGCACAATACGATGCAATACTTGAATCGCCACTGCCCCTGCAACTGTGTATATATTATGCTGGTCCCCAGTGGGTTGGGGGTTGTGGAACATACCCTGGTCGTTTGGTCTTGCACAACTCTTCTGCTAAGTCTTAACCGTTTCCTGGCAACATAAACTTGCATACCTGGGCAAAAGATAGCACTTTAGTCCCAACTCATGTGCGCATGAACTAGTAAGTAATGGAGTGCTTGGAGCTGCCGCAGGCATATTGTGGCTTAAATTCTAGGAATTGAAGACATGGGAACTTGGATATGGACATGTATAGTCTTCAAAAAACTGCAAAGTTTTCCCTTTTAACTTTTACCTTCGAAACCACTTTTGTTCCTAACTCATTTGCCAACGGACACCCACTGTTACCCAGGGGTATGACTTGCATTTGTCGTCCATAATATCCTTCATCATGTGTTTCGTGCATTTTTGACTATACTCTGTGCAGATGAGTTAGGAGTTTGGTGATCTGATGAGTTAGCACTTGCCTGGGGAACGTCTCAACTCATGTGCGCTGGGATGATGGACATGCTCTACGGAGACTGAAGAGACAGGAAACACACAGGGCAACCCTGCATGCAAGTCCCATCTCACAAAGGTCTGGACACGTTTCGGACACAAGGTTTCAATTGCCGGCATGCACATGGCACATCCCGTTGACATTCCATCAAAACCATTCAAAATCTTGGCGTTTGTCCACCGCCAACCATGTCGAGTCCATCATAGGCCTCACAACTCCTACCTCATGCGTTGTCATCCACAAAAACCTCTCCAAAGTGCTCCAAGGCATGCTAAAGAAAAAAACTCTACAAAGCTCATGTTGAAATCATGTTTTCACTGCCTCAGGCTCATGAGCTAGGAGTTATGTATGAAATAACACTTTTCCACATGAGATAGGACTCATGATTTTTGAGATACTTCCGCCAACTCCTTAGTCATGAGTATACAGTATATAACTTTTAATTCCTAACTCATCTGCAAAAGCCATTCTAAAAAGATGTCCGCAAAATCCCAACTCTCTTGGGACCAGTATATACTGTTTACTAGATTCAGCTTCCTGCTACCTACCTGGCGTTTAACAACACAACCACACGAAATGCAACATCCCAATGCTAGAAGTCGATCTTACTAGTATCTCCTGAATCTGTATACTGGTTTTTGATGCTTTTCTGGTCTCCTCCATGACCTTCATGATGGGGTCTAGGGCCTTGTCCGAGAAGGAGATCGCAGGGATTCCTCGCCACGAATTGGTCGTTTCACCGGATTGCCACCATGCGAACCAACCAGTTGATTTGTAAGTGCTCATGCCTTGTCCACCAAGATATTGACACAAACATGTTTGAACCAGGTTTCATTGTACTCATGGTACATGTATTCCATCATCCAGGCATCACCGACTGGAGGATATCTTAGAGGCAAGTTCCTTTGTTCGCAAACGTTGACCTTTTGCAAGACTTGCACAACCATGCGCAACCCCAACAAAACCTCCAAAAAATCATCGAACTCAAACAAAAAGATGCTTTCCCTTCCAAACTCTCAGGGTCTCGACTTTGGCGTCCTGCCAGGTTTTCGTCCGCCAGGGTGGCGTCAAAGAAGGACAAGGAGATCTGATTGGCCACAAAGACAGCCACCAGGGCCGAGCAGCTTAAGGGCAAGACGGAGTTTGGAAGCAGCAAAACCTACCAGCAGGCGGTGATAGGCATTGATTCCGTGGACCCTTGATGGGAGCCTTCGGTTCTGATCACTTTGGTTAAACTATATAATTGTCTCTAACTAATCTAACTAGTACATCGCAAAAGTATCCATGAGAGAAACTCCTGGCATCCACGTCTCTTGGCTCTTTTTGAGCCTCTTTTGCTCCTTTGCTCCTTTCGCTCCTCGCACCCTCTTTCTCCCCCCGCGCGTTGCAGCCTCGAAGACAGCGATGGCCATGCCCACCGCACGGCACACGGCGCAGCAGAACGCCGAGGCCCCAAAGATGGCGCAGCGCGCCATGAAGGCGCCCTGCAGGGATGGCGACGGGACGAGGAGAGCCGTCCACTTCGGCGCCGAAATGGCCGACAATGTGGTTGGGGTCTTTGGATTTCGCAGACATTTGGGGATTTGGGTGGATGTGGATGGATGTGGATGAGTTCACATTTGCCCGTCTTTTTTATTCTTTTTTGGGATGGAATCGTGGTGGCGTTGGTTGGTTTTTGGTAGAGTGAAGTGGCAAGTAGAAGGGAGTCCGATGATGCTCCTGTGTAAAAAGCTTGATGGCTCCTGCGTGAAAAAAACTACGGATGTGAATCAACTCCGATCCTCCCGGCCTTCTGCAGCTCAGAGGGTGTGGCGTTGTCGGTGGCCAGGAGCATGTCCAAGAACCTCCGGCACGTTCCCGGGGACATTCTTCATCTCGAGTGACTGGTTTTGGGATGTTTTGGGTGTGTGACAATAATAATCAATAAAATAGGGTTGCACTTGTTCCTGTTGCATAGAATACAACATCAACACGAAGAGCAGCCAACTGTCAAGACTATATAATATATATACATAAACCCCT